CGACGAGAACAATCCGTTCGGTGACTCGAGTCCTCTGCCGACAAATTTCGACCTCAACGCCCACGATACCCTCAAAATATCCGATTTCCCTCAGTCGCTTCACGAAGCAAAGTCGCTCGAACCCCAAGCCACCTTGCTGGCCACCGGTACCGTCGCCGCTGGCTCGCCCGACTCTCTCATCGACTCCTTCCGAGATTCTTCCTCCGACTCAGCGTCCTCGAAAAGGACCGCCAGTTCCGCCTCAGGGAAGACCGCCGACGTAATGATGACCGATGGAGCCGACGTCAAGCACGACTGGGACGCCTCGGCCTTTGTCGGTCGTCCAGAAGACAGCATCTTCATGTTCAGCGCAAATGCCGACGCGACGCTGCCCGACGGCCTGGATTTGAACGATGACAAATTTATGGACGAGTCCTTCGACTTTGAGAGTGCTTCAAGTAGTCCCAACGCAGCCGGTGCCATGAGCATGGAGTCGCCAGAGATGCCCACCATTCACACGAATGGACCGCCAAAGACGATCGCTCCGGGCAATCCCAGAAACGCAAACCACGGCAAGCGGAACTCAGTGAGTGGAATTACGCAGCACGACACGACAGAAACAGAACCCAGCTAACCCGACCCAGCAATACTCCATATCGCAGCCCATGAATGGATTAAAGATGACCAACTCGAGGGAATGCTCTCCAATGTCACAAAATATGATAACCAGCCATGAAGCGTCGCCATCAGCCTTTTTCAACAGTTCGCCATCGCCCGGCGCACCAGACTTCAACGCTGCCGCAATGGGGGCTATGAACCCGCAAGGCTTCTGGCCTGGCAAGCTGGACCCCGCGGCGCACCAGATGGTTGCCAATATGCCCATGCAACCGCAATACCACCAACACGATGGTCTCCCGGTCCCGATGCCACAACAAATGCCGATTTTCACCCAGCCGAATTTTGATTTCCTCAGCCGTGGATGTCGGTTGACGATTCACCCGACACCCTCCAAGTCGCGCGTTGAGACACAGATTCCCATCAAATTGACGCTTTTCCCGCTACCTCCTGGTATCAAGCGTCTACATCTGCCAGTGCACACCATTTCGAAGCCAAAGCTACTAGCCAAGCCACCAGCCGAACGGACACCCGATATGCTGGAATTGTACACTATGCTCGTCTGTACTAGTGCGATGCAAAACGACGACAACAAGCGCAAGGCCTTCCAGCGCGCCGCAGCCGCCACTCACAGCCCCGTCATGAACGCCCGATCCGTTAGCGACGAGGATGACGAGGAGAACAAGCCGCAAAACGGAGGCGAAGTACGCATCTGCGCCGGCTGTATCACCCGTGAGCGGAAACGAGCCGCAAGGAAGAAAATCAAGAAGGTTGAGGAAGAGGAGATGTGGAATCGCGACGAGACCAGGCGGGTGATCGTCTTCAATACACAAGAAGTGAAGGAGTGGCAGACACCCAACGGTGTTGTGTCAGACTCTACAGTGACAGGACGTCCAGAGCCTGTGGCGCCCCCCGGTGCCATGCAGGTCGATGCGCCGATGAGAATTGCTTGCTACTGCAGGCACCATGCCGAGAAGTTGGGATTCCAGGTCATCTTTACCATCAAGGACTGGCAAGACCGGGTTGTGGCACAGGAGATGTCTCAATCCATAATGATCACTGACGATCACAAGACGCACCCGATCCCGCAGCAGTTGAACCCACCTGCGACCCAAGCCTCTGATAACAACAGCACCAACTTGGTACCTATGATGAACGCTCCGATGGAATCCAGCCCGCTCAGCAATGGTGGAACACCCTTCCGACTGTCTCATTCCAGCTCCGATCTGCAAAATATGCATCGCAATTCCGCCCCTCAATTCCCAGTTGCAAACACGACGGCTAAAGCGCCAGCCCCTCCGGCTTCGAGCACTACTCCTCGTTCATTATCGCGACCGCAGTCTCCGAACGCGCATGGTGGACCTCAGACGAAGAAGCGGAAGGCCAGCACAGGATCGAGAGTACCGATAGGAATGGCAATGACGCGCCTGGACACAACGCCACCGCCAACACAGATGCCCAACCCAGTCCCCGCAGCTGCCTCTGCATCAACATCACCATTCACGCCTAACCTGACCAGCTTCCAGACTCCTCCCGAAGCTGTGTTTGTTCAGAACGGCGCTCCGCCGCCCATGCCGCAAGCATACGCTACTGGCCCGCCTACACCCAACAGCAACGACCAAACACTGTTCACTAACGCCAATCGCTCGGCCAGCATGGACAACGTTGCCATGCCGATGTTCTCTGCGCCCGCATCAGCACACCAGAGCCGCGCTGCAAGCCCCAGTGGACTGCGTAACGGCGTGAATGTGGTATCGCAAAACCAATTCAACACGATGTCCTACATGCCGACGAACGCCGTTGCTCCAGCGCGACCACAGCCGACCATCCACAAGATTATTCCCAACGAAGGCCCGAAGTCTGGTGGCATCGAGGTTACGATCCTCGGAGCCAGCTTCTACCAAGGTCTCGAAGTGCTGTTTGGCGACCAGAAGGCTACCACAACTACTTTCTGGGGTGAATCATCCCTAGTCTGTCTTCTGCCTCCCTCGCCTGTCTCTGGAGCTGTTCTTGTCACTTTCAAGCAAAGTCAAACGCAAGCCGGACCACCGTTCCCAGCTATGTCCAAACAGAACCAAATGTTTAAGTATGTCGACGACGACGAGGAGAAGCTTATTCGCACGGCTCTCTCAATCCTAGGTCACAAGATGTCTGGACAAATGGTTGATGTCAAGGAACTTGCTCAGCGCATTATCGGTCAGGGTGACTCGAGCTGGGGTGCATCTGGTCCCTCAGGTAGTGTCGGCGGCTTTGGCGGAAGCACCTTCAACATGAGCACCGAATCCCAACTTCTGAAGTGTTTGGAGCTCATCGACTTGGATGACAACCCGAGAATGTCGAGACTTGATCTGAGAAGGTCCACTGGTCAAACGATGTTGCACATGGGCTGTGCCTTGGGATACCATCGCTTCATTGCTGGACTATTGGCACGCGGTGCTAACCCAGACTTGCGGGATAAGGGTGGCTTCACTCCTATGCATCTGGCAGCAATGAACGACCACGAGTCCATCGTTCGCAGATTGATGCAAGCTGGTGCTGACCCCACGATCCGCAGTCTTTCAGGACTTCGTCCCGCCGATGTTGCTCGCTCACGCAAGGTCATCGATCATATTCGTCGCTGCGAGCGTCATATCCGCTCCAGGAGCGGTGGCTCTTTGCACAGCAGAGCAAGCAGTGCCGCATCCCTGAGATCGCTTTGGGATCCCCTGGGCATGTCCAGCGAGTCGGAGTCTGCAGACGACGGCGAAGAAAGCCCCGAGTACTCGTCGGGAGATTACGAGGATGACGAACAGGAAGAAGAAGACTCTTGGCTTGACATGCGCCGCCGATCTAGCAGCCATGCGTTCACACCACGCCCCGACAGACAGAGCATCCTCCAACGGGGTCAAGACGAGATTCAACCAGGACTTGCGTCGCCCACAACAGCCATTGCCTCGGCCGTCAGAGACCAATTCACTGCCCAAATCCAGCAGTTCCAGCAAGCCATGACGATGCACTTCCCCAATCTCCCGCAGATGCCTGCTCTGCCTAGGATGCCAATGCTCCCCGACTATCATGCATACCTCCAGCAGAATCCTCTCATGGGTAGGGTCACCTCGCTCATGCCCGGTATGTCCGGCTCACGGCCTGGATCGGCAGACGAGGAGACACCCAGGCCGATGGACGGAAGATGGTGGGATCTGTCATCATTCCGGAACACTAACAACAACTCGGCACCGCCGCCGGCCTACGACGAAATCTTCCCGCAAGATGAACTCGACAAGAAGCAAGCCGCCGCTCTTGGAGCCGCTGCTGAGGCTGCTGCCGATATCAAATGTGCGACCATGTACGACACCCAGACAATCGATGTCACTGAGGCATCGTCAAGCACGGCGCCAGTGCCAAGCGTACTCAGAATTGGACGAAAGAGCGCCATCACGAAGGAACAGCAACAGAACTTCCTCCGGGCCCACGAGGCCAAATTCAAGGGCATGCGTAGCGACAAGAACCTTTGGTTTATCTGGGTAAGTCTCACCACGCAAGCGTTTCAACAGGGACCCGTTAGACTGACTTGTACCAGATTCCCCTTCTTACATGTATTTTGGCTGCTATGTTATACAGCCGTTATCCCCACTACTTTGCCGCGGCCTGGTCCATGGTTGGATCTAAGGTGGACCAGGTTCCGGAGATTGTGAGGAACGTTCAGGACCGTGTTGTTGAGGTCCTATAGATCATTTCGACTTGCTTCAAACCAATTCTGCCACGCATTTGGTCAAACGTATGGCCTTGTTCGGTTCTTGTTTTTCGGGTCAAAGGGGAGAAACGGAGTTGATATCTGCGGGGGACATGTGTGGAACAGAGTTTCGCCCCCTGCCTACAGCGACCAGGACTGGGTTAAGATGAACTGGCACGGCCAAGGAATGCCGTGCTGGCTTTTGGGGTCTGGGTTAAGGACTTGGACGTTGCGCAGCGCCGGTATGGAAAGAAGTTCCCCACGGAACCAGTAAGCCATTTATCTCACTGGGCAATTTCAGCCCCTCAAATCTTTCTTGATAGTTCACTTTGTTATTTTCCTTATTCGTTGGAGTATCGCGAGGAGTCTCGATGCATGGAGCTCTGCCGAGGGAGCAGACACGGTCTAGAGGACCAAAGATGGGTGTGTCGAGTATTATATAGCGAGGGGTGCTTTTCCAACTATTTTACATAGAGGCAGACATTATCGGTCTAGGCCGGGGAATAATGTCGACACTGGTACATTTGTCCTGTGAGTTTTGTTCCGTCCATTTAACAAGTGATGTAACATGCGGCTCTCTCTCCTTGCCGCCTGGTGGTTGTGTAAATACCCCGAGCTTTTTGAAGTCATTCTTGAAGCCAACTGTGCAGGTCTGTACCCGACTGGCCTCTTTCTATTCCCTTCCCCTTTCTCACTAGAGAGCATGCTCCTTCTGCAGACTACCAGCCTCGGCCTCAATCTCGACCAACCGCTCCTCCCTCCACCGCCATACACCCGCCAGCACGGCCCCCGGCCCGACGACGAACTCCAAGTTGTTGGCCAGGACGTAGTACGCCAAAAACTTTTTGAAGTTGACCTTGCCGTGCTGTTGCTTCTGGACGTCGTAGACGACGAGGGCGCACCACAGCCTCGAGGAGCCAAAGATGAGCCAAAAGTCCCATTGGAAGATTTGGAAGAGGCCGGTGCCGACGTCGCCGGTTGATATGTCATTTAGCGGGAGGAAGACGTTTGACAGGGTTAAAGATTTGTTTTGAGAGGTGAAGATGGTGTAGAGGGTGTAGAAGTGGGATGCTGCGGCGACGAGGATGGCGGTGTTGTAGAGGCGGCGGAGGGTGAGGGTTGTTTGCTGGCGAGTGGTGGTGGTCTTATTCTCAGGGGTTTGATTGGATTTGTAGACTGTGCTGGCTAGGAGCCATATCCCGGCATTGAGGAGGACGGGCGCGACCTGCCAGAGGGCGATGAGGTTCTGGGCGAGACGGGGGTTCGTCCAGGGGTAGTACATTGCCGCGGTCGGGAGGGCGAAAAGGAGGAGGGAGGCCGGGAGGAGGGCCTTTGCGAGGGGTAGGGGCATGTCGCCGCTGGAGACGAGGTAGGTTTTCCTTGTGGTGAGGAGGGTGTAGGCGAGGTGGTAGAGGGGGATTATGACGCCGCCGCCGACTGTTTGGTAGAGGGCTGCCCAGGCGGCGTGACTATCTCAATGCTGTCAGCCTCTTTCTTGAGCTTGTTTGATTGTTCATGTTGTAAACGTTGCTTTGAACTCTGCCGGTTGTGGTAGGTTGAGAAAGTTGTGATGGAGGGAGGAGGGGCTTACAAGCTGAGGAAACTCCATCTGTTCCTGGATCGATAGGCTTCGACGTTGAAGACCACCACGGCCGGGAAGAAGTTGAGCAGAAAGTGGATCTGCTGGATCCTTGCCGCCTCGTTGAGGTTGAGGGGTCCCTGGACAAAGGAGGCGACGAGGTAGGTGAGGCCGAGGTCGAGCGGCTTGAGGCCGGTGTAGGTCGTGTAGAGGCGGGAGCCATCTTGGAGTTTCTCCGTCTCGACGAGGTCGGTGAGGTTTTGGGTAAAGGAGGTGTGGCCTGGTTGGATGCGGATGAAGTAGACGCCCGCGGCTGCGAGGAGAGCGAATATGGTTGTGAAGAGGATTGTTAGAAGGGGGTGTCGTGAGGATGTTAGGTTAGCCATTGTTGGGAGAGGTTCTGGGGGGACGCTCCGAGACGGGGGTTCTTGAGGAGACTACACTTTTTCGATAGAAGGGTGAAGTCTCACGATGAATTTGCAGCTTGGGATCAAGTCTAAATATCCAAGGTGTATAAGACGGACGGATCCTTTGAGAAGTGAGATGACCCCACACCGTAAGCAATAACTGGAGTCTGCGGCGTGAGTGGTTGACGGACTCGGCTGATGATGCGCCTATGCGGCGTGGTTCTCCGTGTCGGTCCTTGTCGGCCGACATCTGACATTTCATCTATGTGATAATCCTACTTACTCCATTGCTAACCGATCCGGTTTTCTGGTAGGAGAGTATTCCCCGTCTCAATCCTGGATCGCAATTCTCATGAATCCTGTGCAGAAGCAGCATTGTTGTTGGCTGGTGAAGGAAATAAACATGTCGAGGACCACAAGTTGGGTCTCAAATCCACGGCAGTCATTTCTTCAGTGTCGGAGGGCTCGCATTCATTTCTATGGCTTTAGAATATGGGGTGAGTTATGATTGTAGTACTGCCCTAGTCAACCATGAAAATATGAGATATGAAATCACGACGTGATGCTGGCCAAGGACCTTACTTTGATATTTGATATATGTCAAATTCGAGAAAACAAGTCCCAGTAATGCCAAAAGGCAAAAGCTAGATTGAGGCTTTATCTTTTACACTTCAGCAAATTTGAGTATGGTCGTGAATCAGATATTATTGACCATTCGAGCGTCTCAACTGCTTTCCCTTCAACTGATGATTATTAACCTGAATCCCAGAGCTATTCCTCAATGGACTTCCTCAGATTCGCTGCCTTCTCGGGATAGACTATGCTGCTCCACAACTCGACGGCGCTGATTCCCCCATCAACAAGAATGTCAACTCCGTTGACGTAACCGCATTGAATAACAAACTCAATCGCCTGAGCAATCTCATCCGCCGTGGACGCCCTTTTCAAAGGATGAACCTTTAGCGCAGCAGTAATCATATCACCCACTAAATCCATCGACTTTTCTGCCGTCAGCATGTTCGTCTCCGTCATCCCGGGACTAACACAGTTGACCCTCACACCTCTGCCGGCATACTCTCTCGACGCCGCCGCTGCCTGAACCCGCAGGAAACTTGCCTTCTTCGCCACATAGTATGCAACTCTACTCCTTCCACTGATGATATGATCAAGCTCCTCATTTGGCGACAAGAGGGATGAGAGTGGCGCCGTAGCGAGGTGCGTCTCCAGTTCTGGGGACATGGGCGGGCATAAGCTTTGCGCTATACTCCCGGTACAAACAAGCGAAGAACCTGCAGGCATGACAATTTCCTTGCCAAACGCATCAATGACATTCGCGGTGCCCCGAATGTCCACTGTTAGAATCATCTCGACTGATCCGACTACCGCGCTGACGCCAGATGTCAGTACGACGGCCTCGATGACGCCCAGAGCCGCGGCTGCCTTTGCGACGGCTGTCACGGAGTCATAGGAAGAGACGTCGACCTGTTGCGTAGTGACCTCAATGCCCTTCTTCTTGAGAGATTCGGCCCCCGCGTCGAGGGTAGAGGGGGAGCGACTTGCAAATAGAACTCGTCGGCCGGGGCCAAGGCGGTGGGCTGTGGCAAGACCGATGCCGCCGCCGCCGATGATGACAAGAACTGGGAGAGGATGTGATGCCATAGTTACAAGTTAGGCTGTTGATGTGTATATCTATAATTGACGAGAACTTTTGAGGGACTATGTGAGAAGTCATTTATGGGTGCGAATGAAGGAAAGCAATTGTAGAGGAAAACCTCGATTATTTGAATGCACACTTCGCAGTTCATGCGCTTTTAAGTCTAGGCCAACAGAATTCAAGATACCTGGTGTGAAACATGAAAGACCATCAATGAGTTGCCGGCAGGAATTGGAGATGCTTCTGAAGTTAGAAAGCTGACGATGTAATCGCCGTCTCCGTCGGACATTTATATTTACCCCGGACACTTGGGATGTCATCAAGGCTTATTGTCAACTCTACAATGTGCATTTCCCGAAGCTTAAAAGCCTCGGTGTCCTGCCAAGCTCTCATAATAACAGAACACATTGATAAATTAGTCTCCAGATCATACGCCTTACATCATGAGCAGTGTTATTGTACCCACAGCTAGTCCTCACCTGAGGCTAGGATGGATAGGCAAGCCGAACCGTCCCCTTACCAACCCTATTACATGGCAGCTCACTAACGTGCGCAAACAAACAGGCTTGGGCTCCATGGGGTTGGGCATGGCGACCAACTTACAAAAGCACCTTTCGCAGAGTGGCGCGCCAAGCCTCAGCTTCTACAATCGCACCAAGACCAGGGGTGCAGCTCTGGAAGTGTTGGGTGGTGTTTCTCGCAGCCTCGATGAGCTTACCGCGAAATCTGACATCATCTTCATGTCCCTAAGTGATGGAAGTGCGGTCGAAACAGTTTTGAACACAATGTTAGCTTCAAATGGTTCGACTACTCCTTTTGACAAAAAGATCATTGTCGATACCTCGAGCATTCATCCCAAGATTTCAGCTCAAGTGAGGTTGAGATTGAGGGAAAAGGGTGCAGAGTACGTCGCAGCCCCTGTTCTTGGTGCCAGTCCCGTAGCCGCAAAAGGACAACTTCTTTGGATATTGGCAGGGGCGGAGGCTGCCATCGATATTGTCGACCCGTACATTGTCGGGGTGATGGGTAGAGGGGTCTTACGACTCGGGGACGATGTGCGGCTCGCAAGCAGTCTGAAAGCTGTTGCGTGAGTTACCGAACTTACACCTCTCTTTTTGAGAGGAGACACTAACACATAACCAACAGAAACTCACTCGGAATTGGTATGATAGAGGTCATTGCCGAAGCTCACGTCCTTGCGGAGAAGGCTGGCTTAGGAGTTGCCGACGTCGAGAATCTGATCCAGCAGCAGTACGGCCTCCCAGGGCTCATGATCTCGCAGCGCCTGACAACCGGAGCGTACATGCCTCCACGGGGCGAGAGACCGTGGGCCGATGTTGTTCTTGCGGTTCTGGGCGGGCAAGAGATTCAGACTGCTGCAACAGATTTGGGAGTGCAACTTGGTGTTTCTTCGCTTGTTATGAAGAATCTGGAAGTGGCGAAAGCGTACGGCGAGTCGGTAGGGCGGCAGCTGGACGTCTCTGCGCTTTATGGTGCGGTGAGGATGTCTAATGGGCTTCCTTTTGAGACGGAGTTTGTGAAGAAGAGGGATGATTCTTCCTAGAGGATATGGTTGGAGAATATGAGCTTCGTAAACAGATTCATTGCTATTCGCGGGAGCAACAACAAAGTCTAACGAGACAGCTTCATCGCTGTTCCGATGTTCCTTTTTCACTGCTTTTTTGACTGGCCATAAATATAATAAGGAAGCTCGTGAGAGTACTTTAGGGGCAAATCGCAATTCATTATAGTGTTAGTTTTGAATAGTTGAGATCTACTTATTGTCGCAAATTAGCGGATAGAATACATGACACTACATCATCTGCCTCACACGGCTATTGTTTACTTCAAACTGCCATCTACGAACGGGTTATATCAATAGCCCTTACATACTGGCAACGATGAGTGATAGTATAATTCTCATCGCTGCTGTGAAAGTTGGCTCCCGGGCCTACCTGGTTCATCTAAAGGGGAAGTCAAAGGGCACGATGAAGCCTGAAGCAGGGTGATCTGGTCAGCTTGCCAACAAGGTTACGCCCTGGACATAATCGCCATGAATGAGATTCCAATTGAAAAAAAAGCAGGCCTGCCCAGGGTATATGATCTACGTTCGTGGCTGAGCGCCAACAGACTTCTTTCGTGGGCATCTTCTAACTTAGTACCCAGGGTTTCGGCAGGGCCAGACAGCTGACGCACTTGTTCCTAGGAGACAAGATTGGCTTGCCGCCCTCAAGTTGACAGGTCTGGATTTTCGCTCCAGCACCCCCGAAGAACCGTTTCCTCTCTCAAGTACAACACTCGCACTGGGAACTTATCATCAACCGCGAATCTTTGTCTGTCAGAAGAGAGATAGCTTACCGTGACGTGACTGTTAGCAGCAGATGTTACGGACTGGCAACTTCCAGAACCAACATGCTCGTTAGAAGCACAGGTCGAAGCCATTTCTAGCCCGTAGCAAGTCTGAAAGTTGGTCTGAAACACGTTGTCAGTCAAAGTAAAATTCCTCAAGTACATTGGTCTTCAGAAGGGCTTACGCATGGCTGCGTGACGCTCCTACAAGCAGCGAAGATTGCCGGAACGTTGCAAATGACGAGAAGGAATGTGGCGGAACGCATTATTCGTGGTCAGATCGGAGTTTCAATGAAAACCCGAGCTTAAAGAGTGCAGCAGGACCTATTTGATGTTGTTGAAGTCTGATATTGATGTCAATGAAGTATGTAAGTAGATGTCGTGTATCAAACTATTTATCCTTCCAGTTCAGATTAAGTCCTTGGCTTTCCTCCAATACTGAATAGATAATAACACAAGAAGAACCGCGGCTCGTCTTCGGAGAGTATCATCATCGCCGACGGCGTTTGAACATCCACCGGCCATCGAATTGGGGTCTCGACGCTCGGCAAACTGATATGATCGACTATAACGGCTGGTGGGGACTGTTGACATAATCTGTGAGTCCACCACCACTGGCTTTCCGAATTTGCCGGGTTGATATCGCCGAGTCATGAAGAAACTCTTTTTAAGTAGTAACGCATTGCCCGCAGTCAGGTTTGGCTTTATATGTATCTCGCCGCAAAGTTGGCCGCTGGCTGACATGTCTGTCGGCTCAGCATCACTCATAGAAAGACACTATCCGTCGTTTGCATGTCAACAGCGACCGTCTATCAGTGCCTACGTGATTATGGAATGGCGGCATATAGATCGGACGATACCTGCCAAGATAGGAACATTCATATGGAAGAACAATGAGGGGAAATGGAGACAAACCTCAGGATAACTAACATGACAATAAATACGGATGCTTAGTGAGCTCACATTCTTAGTCGGCTGGAGAGCTTCAGGGTGTACATTAGCTCAACTTACTTAATCCAATGCCAATGCCAATGCTTTCTTTATACCATGAGAGGTTCAAACGCAAGAAAAACCACTGTCACCCGTCACGGTAATGGCTTGCCATTATCATTGCATACCAGCTTATGGAAATGAATTCCGAGCGTCTTCATCCGGGCCTGGGGGATGGCGCATGCAATTGGGACCTCAAGTAAGCGCTGTGGGATGGAGGGCGGCTCTTTCCCCGTGCGGAGGATTTATGCAGGCCGTTGCCTGGTCGCTCCCCACCAATCAGTGGAGCTCTGGCTGAGAGCTCTCCCAAACCTCAAAATTTCATTCTCCAAACGCGCCTGGCCAGCTGTCTCAAGCGCGTTCATCCATTGACAACACCTTCGAAATCCCCGTCACCGTTGCGCCCAATCCCTTCGACGACTGGACGTGACCACGAGAACTTTACGATATGTCGCTCTTCGGCAACAACCCTCTGGGTGGTCTGGGAGCCTCGACCAGCGGAACCCAGCAACAGAGCAGCACAGGAGGTGGTTTGTTTGGACAACAGAACACGACCAGCACCCAACAGACTAGCTCTACACCTGCTTCAGGCGGCCTGTTTGGAAACCTCAACCAGGCCAAGCCTGCGACGACCGGCGGTCTCTTCGGTACATCAACGACGGCACAACCGGCGACAGGATCCTCGCTGTTTGGTGCGCCTCATCAACAACAGCAGCAGCAACAAGGCCAGCAGCAACAACCAGGCGGACTTGGCTTGGGAGGCTTGGGCGGACTGGGAGCATCGACGGCACAGAAGCCATCTCTCTTCGGCGCCATTGGAGGTGGCCAACAAAACCAAAACCAGACGCAAACGACGGGCTCGACTTTTGGCCAGACGAATACAAACAACACTCTCGGCGGCTCACTCTTCCCCTCATCGCAGCAACCGCAGCAGAACACAAACAACCAGTCCCAAATCCAGCAGGGTCAGCCGTCAGGCGCATACTTTGACAGCCTCTTCGCCAAGAGCAAGAAGCAAGGAGATGGCGAAAATGGCATGGAGGACCTCCCTAGCCTGCAATTGGGCCTGGGCGACCTTCGCCAGCGCCTGAAGAAGCTCGGAACAAAGGCCCAGGAGCGTCCTTCCGATGGCAGGGCGCACTATCTCCTCGCTGCGTCTGGCGTGGATCCTTCGACCGCCGCGAAAGACCTTGGATCCCTCGACTTGCAGACCGGCCGTGTCGAGAGACCATCTGGCTACTCACCCGCCGAAATCGACGTCGAGACGTACCTCGCGAACCTCCAGACGAAGACGACGATGAGCATGATTGCGGACGGCTTGGAGAGATCAGTTCGCGACTTTGACAACTTCTTGGAGGACAACGTGACGATGGAATGGGATGCTCAGCGCAAGCGCATCTACGAGCACTTTGGTATCAAGGCTCGTGAAGAGTCTTCTTTCGGACCCGCTGCGTCGACAAGAGAGGCCTCTGGTGGCTTTGGTCGTTCGCGCCGAAGCAAGAGCCAGGCGACTGGAGCTCGTTCCGGCAGAGCAAGCGTCCTGGGCAAGTCGAGCATGCATCGCTCTGTCATCGGCAACGCAAGCAGGATCGGCTCTCACCAGCCAGAGTTCTCAGATGTTGATCGGTCCACGGACAACGGCGGTTCATTGACAGGCCACATCAATTCTGACGACAGATCTCTACGAGAGAAGCAGAACAAGCTTTCCGAAAAGGTCCGCAACCTCAACCAGGCCCGGCTCATCGCTCATCCCTACCCCATCCTTTCAGAGCTCGCGGATGTTGAGCACCGGTCTCTGGACCCATACGCACCACACATCGTTGAGGCGTATCATGCTGTTCGCGAGATTGTCGGAGAAGACCCTGAAGCAGAGACTACCATCAATGGTGCCACTGCGAAGGAGCGGCAATTTGCTAAGATGTACTTGGATGAAGCTCCAAACTCTGCCAGCTCGATATCTATGCGAAAGAGGCTGTTGGATGGTGCCAATAGATACCTTGAGAAGCAGTTCCTTCAAGAAGTCGAGGCCCTCATCGCAAAACACCCCCACGAAGCCAACCTAGGTGGTCGCCCCGATATTGTCAGCAAGATCAGAGCCTATATCCGGTTACGTTCTGCACGAAAGGATTTGGTGCCTGATAACACAGACCTTCAGCAAACTGGTGGTGAATATGTGTGGGCCATCGTCTTCTACTTGCTGCGCTCTGGTCACGTTAGCGAGGCTGCGACGTATGTGAATGATAACGGCAATCAATTCCGCAGCATCGACCGCACATTCCAGAGCTATCTCAACGGCTATGCTTCTAACGAAGACCGCCGCTTGAAGCGCACGTTGCAGGATAGATGCAACGCCGAGTACACTCAGCGTGTGCGCAACGCTCCCGACAACTCCATCGATCCCTTCCGGATGGCCTGTTACAAGATCATTGGTCGCTGTGACCTGAACAACCGTAGTCTGGATGGCCTCAACACCGATATCAACGACTGGATTTGGCTTCAGTTCAACCTTGCCCGAGAAGGCGACCGTTCGGTTGAGGTGGCTAGCGAGGCTTACGGCCTTTCCGAACTGCAGTCCAGTATCAAGGAAATCGGAGCCAAGCACTTCCCGAAGACCTCTGCCGAAGACAACAGTGGCAGCTTTGGCATGTTCTTCTACCTCCAGGTACTATCAGGCATGTTCGAGGAGGCTATCGCGTATCTTTACCCCTTTTCCTACGTTGACGCAGTTCACTTCGCCATTGCGCTCGAGTACTACGGCCTTCTCCGACCTTCCGATCCTTTCAGCGCCTCCAACGATCTGCGCAGCTTGAACGTTAAGGATTCTGTTCAGATCAACTTTGGCAGAATGATTGGCTACTACACAAGGGACTTCAGAGCAGCCGATGTTGTATCTGCTGTTGACTACCTGACTCTCATTTGCCTCAACATGGACTTGTCTGGCGAGGCTGGTCGTCGTCATGCTAACCTCTGCTGGGAGGCCCTGCGCGAGCTCGTGCTCGAGACGCGTGAGTTTAGCAAGCTCATCGGCGACATCCGTCCTGATGGTCAGCGGATACGCGGTATCATCGAGGAGCGCGGTTCCTTGATCGGCCTGACGGAGGAGAACGACTTCATCAACACCGTCACCGTTCAGGCTGCCAGCTTCGCCGACGAGAACGGCCGCACCACTGACTCAGTCCTCCTGTACCACCTAGCTGGCGAGTACGACACCGTCGTCTCCATTGT